ATCATCTTCTTCCTTGTTCTTTAAATGTTCATTTATTCACAAAAGCTTGGTTGAGCACCATCAGACCAGAGACTTCACCTGCCTTGTTAACCACAGTAGGCCTGCTGCGTAGGACAGCTCCGCACACATGGAGGCCCCTCCTTAGGTAATTGCTTACTGTGAGTACTGAATGTGGGGAACACTGTAGTGTGCAGGCTACTGGCTCTTCCTTCAAGCAGCCTGTAGTATAGTGAAGAAGACAAATAAGTAAAACAGGAAATGACAGTAAAGTATGGTAAGAATTATGATATAAGGGGGTATGGGAGAACATACTATAACTTGGACACAGGAGATGCTGAATTTGTCCAGTATCAAAATTTGACAATACATGTGAAGTTCTGGCAACCAGGGAACCTCATTAGAGACTCAGTGCCCAAGATTTCTATTGGAGGCTGATCACATAGGCATACCCTGTCTAGCAGGTACCAAAATTCCACTCTCAGCAGGAAAGTAGTTATACTACATAGACCACATTGTTCATACAGTTAAGAAACAGTGAGCCACTCTTGGTCACAGTTTGAGGCACAGTGAGAGCACGGTAGGAAACCTCCCAGGTGCCAGTCAAAGACCAATCTTGTGAGCAGGCCTTTCTAAGGATAGCAGGGTCAGGCTGTTTTTGCATAGATACCTAGCCTAGTCTTAGGGAACTAGGAATGCTTAGGACGATAGTTCCTAGGTTGTGTGAAAGATGATGCTGTGGACTTAACTGTGTCTCTCCCATCCTCCCAAAATCCATATGCTAAAGTCCTAGGCCTTAATGTGACTGCATCTGGAGACAGGGTGTTTAGGAGGTAACTGTGGCTAAATGTGAAGACACAGCAAGAAAGCAGCCATCTGCAAGCCAGGAAGAGAGCTCTCACCAATAACTGAATTAGCTAGTACCTTGATCTTGGGCATCCAGCCTCCAGAACAGTAAGAAAATAAATTCTTATTGTTTAAGCCACCCAGGCTGTGGTATTCAGTTATGGCAACCCAAGCTGACTAAGGCAGATGAGCAGAAGAATGAAAAAGACTACTACAGACAGATCAGAACGAGGTGCAACAGCTCTGAGATAAGAAAAATTTGAAGAACTGTAAATAAATGTGACTGTTTTCACTCTTATTCTCTCCTAAGGTGATCTCATCACTCTTCCAAACCCCTCATATCCAAGCAGAGGCCAAGTTCAATTGTTTTTGCCTTCCCAGTACTTGGCAACTTCCTCTCCCCATCCTGACAAGGCCATCTCACCTTGGTTATTGCAACAATATCCTAATAGGTTCCTTGCCTCTAGTCTCTCTCCTCTCTAGTACATCTGCTACACTTCTCAAAAGATGGAGTGGATCATGTCACCCTCCTGCTTCAAAATCTTCAGTGGTTCTTGATAGATGACCTTCATGGTACAATCTAGCTCCGATTCTTCTCTCTCTGGGTTCATATCCCATAATTCTGCCTCACATTTCCCATCACCGCATACCCAAAAGCCAGGACTTACCAAGCCAACTGCAAGTACTGAGAATACACATATGCTTCATCCCTCCTTACTTTTGCACAAGCCATTATATAGGGCATCCTCTGAAGACACTGCTCTAAATTCTAAGCATTTCACACGAATTATGTCTTAATCCACACCACAACCATATGAAGTAAGTACTACTATTCTCTCCACTTCATAGATGAGGAAACTGAGGCACAGAGCAGATAAATGACTTGCTGGAGCTCATACAGGTAATACATTGCAGCACTGAATTTGAGCCCCACACTCTAGTTCCAGAGTCTGCGTCACACTGTGCTGCACTGCCTGACTTCGCCTTGCTTTACGCCGTCCCATCCACTTGGTGAATTCTAATTCATCCTTCAGTAACAAACCGAAGTTTCATTTTCTCTGTGCTGCTCCCCCCGAGTGAACCAATCATTTCTTTCCCAATATTGCCATCGTATCTTGGTCACATCCCTGTTGTTATGCTCATCACATTCTATTGTGACCATGTAATAACCTACCCAATGCTGCACAGAGCTCAGGTTGCATCTAAAAATTACCCTGCACTGTGAAGGTCCTCACATTTATTTCCAAATAGCCCTTTATTTATCTGTACCTCATTTCTGTCTCTTGCTACCAGTTAATCAGCCCTTTCATCCTCAGCTTCCGGCCTGCTTTAGCCTTTCAGTCCAATGCATTGTTTACCTCCTTGGTCAAATCTCCCTTTGCCTGCTCTCTCCTCTGAACTCTCCCTCCTCTGACCGAGAACCTAATTGCGTAATGACCCCATTTTAGCATGACCCTGGGGAGTTATCACAGGCCACAGGCAGGCCTAAGTAGAAGGGCTGACCCCCAACCTGGTTCTCAACAAATCATACTTACTTGATTTAGCTCTTTTTTCTTTTTTTGGGGGGGGGGGGTTTGGTTTTTTGTTTGTTTGTTTGTTTGTTTCATTCAAGCTACCTCATGGGGCAGAGGAATTATTAAAGGAATAAATGTCTTACAGAAAACTAGGAAAACTAAGTAACAAGGTTCCGGGAGAACAAGAAAGCTGGTAAATTTGGACTGCATGCTCTTTATCCCAGTGCTTCACCATCTGTACAACTCAGCTAATACCCAAGTAGCTACTTCTTTTATTCCAGACAGCCGTTGGTTTATTTTTTCCCTCTATCCCATGCATTCTTTCCAAACGTCGTGGCTTCTCCATATTCATGGTGTCTGCTTCTGTAGTTTGGATTCGCCATGACCTCATGATTCTCTCTCTGCATATGTTCAGCTTCAGCTCTCCCAAATGCCTAATTTTCTTTGTGTTTATAATTTCAGTTGCCCAAGAACAAGAAGCTGACTGGCCCCAGGTCATCTTTCCATGTCATATCATGAGACATCCGCTACGGTCCACTCTGTGGGTTGGCAGTCCTTGAGTCCACAGCTAATCTCAGTTAAATCAGCTGTGACAGTGAGCACAGGGTCAAATCATGCAAAATGTCACCAACTGGGCCGGTCCTTTAGCAGAGGCTATAAGGGAAGTGTTTTCCTTAAAAGAGGATTATGGTATGGGAGGTCCCCTGATTCAGGTTGGGACTAATTTAGACAAATGATTCTTAAGTATTTTTTATCATAGATTAAAGCTATGGACCTTTCTCCAGAAAAAAAAAAATTCTCCTATGCAAAATTTTTACGTGTAACTTTACGCATTTGTGGATCCCAGCAACCATCCAGGGAAAATCCTCTAAACCACCAGAACTCTAAAGTCTATCCAAAGACTACCTCAAAGATAGGCATTATATTACATTCGTCTTTGTATCTCTCATATCTAGCACTAGGTTTGGCACACAGAAGGTTTCAAAAAAAAATCTGTTGAATGAATAAATTATTCATTTATTAATTAAGGTTAAGAGTTTTTTCAAAGCCAGATGAGGCTAAGAAGTTTGGATTTAACAGAATGGGCATTGGGACCCTGGCCAGGTGACTCAGTTAGTCAGAGCCTCGTCCCATACAACAAAAGGTTGTGGGTTTGATCCCCAGTCAGAGCACATATGTAGGCTGTGGGTTCAATCCCGGTTCACTGTTTCTCTCTCACTCACATCAATGTTTCTCTCCCTTTCTCTCTCTCTAATGTAAATGCTAAAACAAAATGTTCTTGGGTGAGGATAAAAGTCCTTGGGGAACCATTTTGTTTAGTTCTTCTGTTTTGTTTTGTTTTGCTTTGTTTTGTTTTAAGTAGGCAATTGATCAGAGTTTAATGTGTTTTTAACAGTTAATGTAACAGATTGGAGGGCAGCAGACCAGTTAGAAACTGGAGGAAAGAGAAAATGAAGATCTAAACTATGGTATAGAACCCTGGTTGGAAATAGAAAATATGAGAGGCAAAGACAAGACAGAGTGTAACACTAAAGCTGATAGTACATGGCACTATATTAAGATTCGGGGTAAGAAAGGGATTTAGAACCAAAACTTGGCTCCAAGTCCTCAAGCTGAGAGACTGGAAGAATGGCAGCACCATTAGAGACATGTAAGAAGGGAGAGAAGTGGGTTTAAGGAAGCAAGTTATATCTTAATTACTGAGTCAGAGACTCAGGTGGGATTTTTCAAGTGGACAGGAACAACTGAGAATGTGGGTCTGGAGTAATTGAGCAGAGCTGAAGGCTGGCTCCCAAGTGACCAGCTGAGCCTGCAAGAAAGGAATCAGTTTACATGATGCCCTGCAGCCCGCTCTCTCTGCTTCACAGTGTTTGAAGCCCTCTCAAAGCCATCATTTTATTTGACAGTCATAATCTTACAAAATAGGAAAGGCAACATCACCTACTTTTATAAATAAGGAAATGGTTCAGGGCAGGGGTTTTACCAAAAATACTGCAATGAAATAACAGACTCAGGATTAGAACCCAGAGCTTCTGATTCTTAATACAACTCCAACTCCGTTGCCAACTGTACGCAGACAGTACTCTACTCTCATGGGTCAATTTTTTAAGTAGTTTGGGGTTTTGTTGTTGTTTAACAGTTGTCGGTTTAGAGAGAAGTTTAAGACCAAGGTGCTCCACCTGGCACAAATCACCACTCTAGTAACTATCTTCAGTGCAAAGGAACACATATCTCTGGCTTCAAGGGAACTTCTACTCTGCGATTGTGGCCCACAGCCCATGTTGCATGTTTTTAAATGCTATCTTTCTGCGTCTCCAACCTGAATGAACTCATACAAGGAAAAGACCCACTCACGATGTGGCCAGACTTCCCGCAGACAGCTGGGTAAAACTTGTAATTCAAAAAAAGTCAAAAATCTTCAAGGTTCACAGGTCAAGGGAAGAGACACTTTTTAAGGCTCTGATGGGTTTCCTGTGAGTTTTAAGTGAGGCTCTGTGTTTGGCTGACAAGTCCTGATCTGCGCGGCGGGGAAGCGGAGGAGGGGGTCGGAGGAGTGAGTCAGGAGGGAGCCGCGCGGGCGGGGACAAGAGAGCACGGGCGGGGGCCGGGCGGGGACAGGCAATAGCCTCGGCCCGCCCGCCGCCGCCGCCGCCCAAAGCTCGCCGCGCCGCTTCCCTCTCACAGCCTCAGCGCCTCGCTCTACTCCGACATGGTAAGCCTGACCTCTTATTTCTTCCTCTGAAACCAAAAGAAAAAGCTACAGCCTACTTTCCACCAGGTTTTAACTTTGATTCCCATCACGTGGCAGTAAACAGAGCAGGAAAAACCAATCCGTGGGAGGGAACTGAGAAGAGAGGACAGAAGGAAAGAGCCCTAACGCTCTACAGGAGTAACAGCCCAGGCGTGGCCACGGCCACGGGAGGTTCTTTGTTTACCGGGCAAAGATGAGGGCTCGGGCTGCGGACGCGGAAGTGCCGGGTGAGCTCCGCGGGGGAGGCCCCCGGTCCGCTCGGCGGGGGCGGGGGTCCCGCTTGTGCTGGGGGCCGGCGCCGCTGGGTCCCGGAGCCGGGAGACCAGCTGCAGACGGGGGTGGAATTCTGTGAGCGGCACCAGCTCTTCCTGGGGACCAGAAAGGGCACATTTCTGAACGGCCGTCTGAGCCCCCGGAAAATCAAAGTTTCAGTAAGCTAGCGGCCAGCGGCCAAGACGGAGACGGAAGCCGAGTCCGCCAGGAACGTGGGAGGCGCCCGGCCCAGCCACGCCCTTCCTCACAGCCTTGCCTTTCCACTCGCGGCCTTTTCGGGCGCTCCCGGCACTACCTGTTTTCCCCTCTTAGCTCCTGCCATCCCCACTTTGAATTCTCTAACTCTTCGATGAAGCCACCTCCAAAATCTGCCCCCTCTTTGGTGAAGGGAGTCAGCAAAACTTCCGCCCAGGGACCAAGTTTGGTTTCTGTTCGCTACCATTGGATTTTGCATTTTTAAATGGTGGAAAGAAAATCAAAGGAAGAATAATACTTTGTGACACGTAAGAATTACATGAAAATCAATCTTCAGCGTCCACACCAACTTTTATTGGCGTATGTCCATACCCATTCGTTTATGAGTTGTCTGTGGTTGCTGGCCCGCTAGGAAAGCAGAGTGACAAGTCATTATGGACCACACTGGCCTCAAATATGTACCATCTGGCCCTTTTGCCAACCCTTGCTCTAGTGTCTCAGTCTGTATCCCACCTCATCTTTTCCTCCTCTTTCCATGCAAAACGGGAGAGTCGTTGTCACATGATGAACCTGGCATGGTCCTGGAGGAGGAGGGTGGGTGCCACGGTCCTTGGAGGGAAAAGGTGATATTGGTTAATGAGAACTGCAATACCTGAGTCTTTTTCAAGCATTACTTCTTTTCCACGTTCCTTTTTCTTTTCTAAAATGTTGAGTGTTTAGTGGACATTTTTAAAATTCTTTCACACTGTCCACTAGCCCTGTGTCTCCTTCCTGTCATTGGTTCCCACCAAATACAATTCTGAGGGTGAAGTGAGGTGAGGGGAGCGCTGGCCTCCAAGCCAGAGAATAAGTTCTCCTCCCCTTCAGCCACTGCCGCACCTTGAGCAAAGCTTTCCTGTCCCTGGGTCTCCCTCTCTCTGGGCCTCCCTCCTTGGGAACTATCTCTAAAGACCCCTCAGCTCTACAAATTTTGCAATTCATTTCAGTAGTCTAATAATTGTGTTTCTTTCTTTTGCTCTGGAAAATTACCTCTGGGGAGAAATGCAGAGATGTTAAGGAGAAAAAAGTAAAGCAGAAGGCCATTTTGAAATGGGAAAAGCAAGGCAATCTGAATTCCCCAAGGAAAAGAGGCAGAGGCAGCTTCTTTAGGTCTATGAAAAGGTCACAAAGCCTTGATCCTTAGTCTGGAAACTTCTACGCTATCTGGTGTGCCCTCCTAGCCAATCTTGTTCCTGTCATCTGACACATTAGTAAAACAGTGAGATTTTAGTCCTGATAAGAACAGCTGTTGTGCAAACACATATGTTTCTAAGCAACGCTATTTTGTTTCTCCCCCAAACCCTGAAACCTACCAACAGTTTTCTTTAAGAAAACGTTCCAACAATGTGACTGTTGGGAAAGAATCCACCTCTGAAAGAGTTCTTTAGAACCCACCTTCGGAAGGGCTTTATAGATTCCCCAAGATGTATTGGGTAGGAGGCACCCGGCAGGCTGGTAAAGCTCCTGGAGAGACGAGAGAGGGGAAGAGCCTACAGAAAGGAGGGAGGGAAGGAGGCCTTCAGGCCTGCAGCCTCAGGGCTTCCATCAATCCTCAGGATGTTAATTATGGGGCCTGAAAGCCTCCAGCTCTGGATTCCAGGAAGTACGGGCTACAGCTCAAGAACAAATGAATAGTAAGTGCTAAATTGCAAAGTGACCGTCGGAAAGTAGCCCATTGTTAATGGCCTGGGGGGAAAGCCTCAGGAAGGGTGTGGCCCGGCACGTTTTCCAGATAGTCCGCAGTTGCTGCTCTTATCCACCAGGGGGAGAACAGCAGTTCCTCCTTTCTGGGGCCCCGAGGGGCACACTCATCAGGAGAGAATTTACTTGAAGATTTCTGATGAAGGAAAAGCAGAGCCCAGCATGGGATTTGAACCTCCTGCTCCTTCTGCAGCAGCCACAGGCGTGGTTCGGCTCTCTATAAGCCACGGGAGCTGTGTGAACAGCAACCTGAGAGTCCCCATATCAATCTTCGTGGTTTGAAATGACCAGAGAGGTTCGACCAGCCATTCCTGTGGGAATTCGTGGCATCTAGAAGTAGAAGAAGCAAAGGCTGAGGACTGCAGAAAGGGACTTGGAGGCGGGGATTCTGGGGATAGCTGTGTCCATTCCCTTCTCATGCTTCTATTTCCTCACATGTAAAATACAGAGCTGCTAATTTTCAAATATGAAAGCTGGTTTTGAACATCAAAAAAATTCTCAAATCTCCCACCCCATACACAATAATAGCTATGCTTTTAGTTTTCTTCTAGAAAATGCATGAGTTCCAGGAATTCAGTATTTTCTTTAAAAAGAACTGCCATTTCATTCATTACACTCTGTATACTCTTGGAAAACAGGAAATTTTGACATCTTTAGCCAATGCTCGGTGTGGACATGGACTGGCCGATGTTTAGTAATACGTATTTCCTGCTCGTTCTAAAGATATCAGTGGCCCTGTCACCCTCATTCTCATCAAACGTAGCCACAGGCTCCAGGCTTATTCTATGTTTCCCATGGAATATAGGTGACGGGATGTGGGGAGGAAGCTCACAAAATGTGACTTTCTGTGCATGTCTTAGGCACCTTACACCCCTAAAAAATGACCCAGGCTTAGGAAACTGCTTTGACCCAAAATGAAGAGAAAAGATTCTCTGGAGTGTTCTCTAGCATCAAGGCCTTGATATGTTGCTCTTGTCTCAGCCTTGAATTTTTTTTTCTCCAAAGGCAAAAGTATCCAGCCCTACAGAGACCGAGCGGTGCATCGAGTCTCTGATTGCTGTTTTCCGGAGGTATGCTGGAAAGGATGCTAACTGCTCTACACTGTCCAAGACTGAGTTCCTAACCTTCATGAATACAGAACTGGCTGCCTTCACAAAGGTACTGGTCCTAGCCCTTACCACTACCAGCCCCCTGTCCCCACCCAGCTCCAAACTGCCCAGAGCATGAAACAAAACTGGCAGAATGGCTAGGAATGAAGGGCCAGAAGCTAACCCCCGCCCCCACACTCTCCTGCCTCCTTTTCTTTCACTCCAAGCCAGGACTCCAAGTAACAACATAGGCTGAGCTCCCAGGCCTCACAAGGAAGCTCTGAACCACTGGTAAATGGTTCTCCTCCTTTTCTTTGAATAAGATGTGTTTTAAAGATCAAAGTTATCAAATTACCTGACTTAGGGATAACTTCCCTACTCATTTAGGGAAAAGAAATTGCAAAATAGTAAGTGGCGTAATGGAAGAGTGTTCTCATTTTATCCCTCTACCCCAAAGCCTCTAGGGATGGCCAATAGACTTTATGCAATGATAGAAAACATGTTTTATATCTGCACTACCTGATATGGTAGCCACTGGCCACATATGCCTATTGACTTTCTAAGTTAATTAATTTAAGTAGCCATAATTAACCAGTGGCTATAAGTGTATATATGCTGGGGGCTTGGGTGAGTGGAGGATGAGGCTGATAGGGCCTGCAACCTGTTTTTACTTCAAATCACTCTACTTTTATGTATTGGGTTGGCCAAAAAAAGTCCGTTTACTTTTTCCCATAAAATAAAAGACATTTTTCATTTCACCAATAACTTTATTGATTTGGATATTTTGAGTGTGTCGGCTAACTCACACTTTTGACTTCTAAGAGTTAGAGGCCAGGGGTGCTACTAAACATCTTCCAATGCATAAGACAGCCCCACAGCAAAGATATATTTGGCCAAAATGTCAGTAGTTCTAACAAACTTCACAAACCACTTTTGATACATTTGATTAGTCACAGAACCTTCTCCATATACTGCACAAATCTTTTTTTTTTTTTTGCATTTCAGTTGCATTTTTACCTTCCTTGAAATAATAAAGCATAATATGACAAAAGTGGTGCATATTTTCTTCCATCTTCAATATTAAAATGGCTGCACATAAATTCACCAATTTTTATAGGTTTTATTTTTTTAGGGCACACTGATATGAGAGCTGTCAATACAGTGTAACAAAATTGTTTCAAATGAAGTTAAAGACGACTAAGCACTACTAGAGCCATGGTACAGGAAAAATGTGACAGACTTTTTGGCCAACCCAATAGTTTATATACTGGAATTGCATGCAAGAGTTGAAAAAAGTGTTGTGTTGTTTTTGTAAAATCGAATAATCCCTGATTGTCACATTAAGAACCCTGGACTAGGAGCCAGAAAATCTGGCTTCCAGTCTGAGCTTCACCTCTTTTAGTCTGCTTCTGTGTTTAGGTAGTAGGAATACTAGAATCCCTACCCCATACCTCATGTTCTATGAGGATAAAATGTTGCAACGTATCTGAAAGCATTTCAGAAAGTACAATGTAAAGGTACTGTTAATATTATCACTTCATTGTTGTTATTACTACCTTTGCAGAACCAGAAGGACCCCGGTGTCCTTGACCGCATGATGAAGAAATTGGACACGAACAGTGATGGGCAGCTAGATTTCCAAGAATTTCTTAATCTCATTGGCGGACTGGCAGTAGCTTGCCATGAGTCCTTTAGCCGTTCCCAGAAGTGCCGCTGAGGAGCCCTCGGCGCTGGCCTCCAGACCTACCCCCTTTCCTTCCGGCTTCCCGATCATCACCATCCCCTCACGGACCACATCTATCCCAAGCTCAGTGCAACTACTACCCCATGTATGTCCCTCCTGCTGGTAATAATAAAACTTTTTTTTTTTTTTTAAACACACTGGAGAGTCAGTAAACTTATGCAAGGGAGGTAGAAGACTGGGAGGGATGTATCTGTTCGCCCCTACCTCAGGCACTGACATAGGCTCTGGGGATACAGTCAGCAAGACAGACAAGGTCCCACCTTCACTGAGCTTACTTTCCAATGGGCAGGGGGAAAATAGTGAATGAATAAGCAAACAAAGGGCTTGGGAGGATGATAAATCCTATGAAGAAAAAATTTCGAGGTGGTTTGTTAACACATTAAACCGGGGTTGGGGGCAGGACAGTCTTCTGAGATGACATTTGTGCTGTAATCTGAAGGATAAGAAGGAGCAAACATTCATAAAAACAGGAGGGCATTTCAAAAGAACGAACAGCAAGGGCAAAGGTCCTGAGCCGAGCAGGAGTGGGAATAGGAAGAAGACTTGTCAAAATCAATGTTTGGCTGTGGGCTAATATCAACACTAATTTTCAAACCCTCTGGCAAAGCTGCAAGGAAAGAGCCTAGATAGGTGAGTAGGCTGATCCAGGGTTAAAGAAAACAGATGAGAGAAAGAGAGAAGCATGTTTAGAGGAATGACGTGCATCCCTAAGCAATACCGAGAAAACTCCAGAGAACTTGTAGATTCCTTACCCATCTGTGAGTTTTTTAACTTCTTAGTAAAAATCTCTCTGGCTCACATTTCCTCCCTTCACAAATTAGAATGAATCAGACCATTTTTTCTGATGCTAATTTTTGTTTGTTTGGTTTTGGAGGGGAGTGGGGAACCACTTTGAAATTCCCGAATACAGGCTAATGCCTTAGACTAGCGAGTCCCCAAATTCTTCAAGTGGAGTTGTAGCTACCCCTCTGATGAGTTCCTTGATTCATTCACAATACGGTAGAGGCAGAGGGCGGTTGAAAATCTAGTCAGTGGAAGTTTCCATATCATTGCCTTGCTGGTGCATCCTATAGAGAAATCATTATTACTAAAAAGTGGTATCCCAAAGAACCCAGCCAGGGAAGAGCTGGAAAAACAGCAGGCACCCTAAGGTGACAGGCCCATTTGCTAATCTACCATGAAATCACTGGCCCTTGTTTTAAGACACCATGCTCGGCGATCTAACTGGGAAATCTTTACTTTCATGGTGGCATCCTCAAGTTTTGGTAAGAAGACCCAATCATTACCAAGCTTTTAATTCAAGATTCAATTCAACAACTGTGGTGCCTCCTATATGCAAGGTGAGTGTTAGAGAGTCATCAAGAGGAGACATTGACTTAGGAGATGATGAGCTCAATGAATGTGTGTCGTATTTGAAGTGCCATCACAAAGTCCAGTTGGCAATGTCCAGTGAGCATCTACAATTGCAGTCTGGGTAGAAGGCCTGGTTTGAGAAGCAGAGATAGACAAGGGACTGGGAAGGTGCCCTCAGCTGGTGAGAAGGGGCAGAAGAGAAAGGAGTCTCATTAAAGGATAGCTGACAGGGACAGAGAGCAGGGCTGCTGAACCACATCAGTGACTGCCTTCTGAAGCTGATGCTCCTCCACTTAGCATACAGTACACATCCTCCTCATGCCTCATATTCTCTTTGTGAACCTCATCCACTCCTATGTCTTCATTTATTGCTAGAGACCAAGGACCGCTCATATCTATCTCCTCAACCCAGTTCTTCCTGAGCTTCAGAGCTGCCTCCTAGGTTTTTCCACATATAATGATGCAGCTATCTTTCATGTGTGGACAAATATTTACTTTTCATGTGTAAGATACTGTTCTGTGTGCCAGGCCTTGGTGAATCAGTAAGGCGGAGAACATCTTGTCATCAAGAAGCTCGCATTCTCCGGTTCATCGTATCCCAAACTGAACCTGCCATCCTCCCAGCTCCGCAGCCTGCCCCCCGCCCTCTGCCGTTTCGCATCTTAGGAAATGGCACCTCCATCCCCCTAGTTGCCCCGTCCAGAGACATGAAAATCAGCACTGACTCCTTTTCCTTCTCCTCACATGCAATCAAATCCCCTAGTTCATCTGATTCTCCACGCATATATCCCTGAGTCCACCCCCAGCCTTCCCTTGACCCAGGTCATCACTGCCTCTCATCTGGCACTGAAGTAGCTTCCTAACGGGCCCCACTCCTCTGGCATTGCCCTCTCCGGTCCTTTCTCCTTCCTGAAGCCTCTGATCTGGTTGCTCTCTAGTGTAAAGCCCTTCAACGGGATCCCCAGTGCCCTGGGCATGTAAAGTCAGGCACGATACACTCCCACGTTGCTCCCCATCTCATCTGACTTCCCTTTCTCTGCCCCTTCCCTCACACATCCACCCTCTATGTGCCAGCCGTACTGAGCTTGCTTAGTTCCCTCAACACACTGGGCTTCTCTCACCTCCTGGCCTGAGCTCTCTGCCCAGAGGATTCACCCACTCTCACCATAATGTACATTCCCACTTACCCTTCTGTCTCAGCCCAGATGGCTTGTACCCCAGGAAACCTTGCTAAACTCCTTAGTGGGGATGAGGCATCCCTTCCTTGTGCTATCATGCCCTGTACCTCCCCTTCCATAGCACTTACACTAATTGGCTGTCTATATGCTATGCATTTTCTCTGGGTCAACTTCTCCAAACTCATGGCTTTGATCTGTATGCTCGTAACTTACATTTCTATATTCCCCAGCCCAATTCTCTCTAAAATTCTCAACTTATCTACTTAACATCTCTACCTGGCTGTCCCACAGCAAGGATTCTTCTTGCTGTTGGTGATTTAAAAAAAAATGCATTTACATTGTTGTAAGTAAAGCAGGAATTTATTGACTCATGTAGCTGAAGAGTAAAGACAGCTTTAGCTTTAGCACAGCTTTAGGAGCCGGTGTCTTTCTCTAAATCCTTTGGCTCTGCTTCTTCAATGTTGGTTCCATTCTCAGGTCCTTTGCTGTGACCTTAGGATGGCTATCAGCACTTTTAGGCTACAACCTCTCAGATTAGAATCTACTGAGAGGGAGGGAAAGCAATTGCTTTTCCCAGAATTCCCAAAAAAATACTGAGATCTCCTCTGTTTGGACAAGCTTAAATCATGTGACCACCCCAGGCCAATCAATGGGTCTGAAGGTATGCAGCACATTGCTTTATGTAGGACTCTCAGATCTTGGGTGGACCCTTACCCAAACTATGAGAACCAAGGGTTGGGAAGAGAGGATCAGGCATGAGAAATGGATGCTTCAAAAACAGGAAACAAACATACACAAGTAACACACACCTCAAACACAACATGTTTTAAACTGAACTCTATACCTTTCTCCCAGAGCAGAGCTCTGTTTTGTTCCTGATTTCAGTGAATTGCACCACCATCCACCCAACTGTGTAAACCAGGAACCAGGGGATAATCTTAGACTTCTCCCTCCCAACCACATCCAAAATCCGTTTCTTGGGTTTTATCTCTTAGGTTTTATCTGCATATTCATCCCCTCCCCTCCACTCTTATTGCTTTATTTCAGACTCTTTTTAACAGACCCACTTAACCATCTCTCCATTTCTTCTATTAAAAAATGCCATAGAACCACAAATGCCCAAGGCAAAGGGAGAACTCTGTTGTTACTCCATCAGTGGAAACATGTGTTCACTAAGCATGTATTTGTGGTTGCTCCCAAACCTGTTTGTATGAGTTGCACTTGTTCTTGTAACCTGCAATTTAATTAAGTAGTCTATATGCCAATAAAATGAGTACAGAAAGATAGTTCTTGTCTTTATGAAAACCAATTGAATTCTTTTTAAAGACTTGATTAGAGAAATTTACTGAAGGTCACCGTAGTTTATGTAAGTGTAGCTGAGGTAACTGTAAACAAATGGGGGAAAACTCATAAATATCTAGAAGCATCTTTCACAGAAGTGGAAAGAAGTTTTGATTGTTGTAGCTCATTCAACCTTTCAACCCTGTATCAATAAGATTATGCTTTTTGTACAGTAGTCTGCAAGAACTTGAATGCCACATGCCAGATATGGGGAGAAAAAATTATTAAGCATTCAGATGAAGCCCTGAACATCCTCACAAGTACCTTTAAATTCTCCAATTAAAAAAAAAAGAACTAAAGTCGTTATAAATGTGGTTTATTCAAGAAGGGTAGTATAGCAAAATATTGGTAAATGTTCATGTTTTAAGTTAAAGTAAATATTTGAAATATTATTATCATTTTTATGAATACCCATTTCAATGGATTTTTTCTTTTAACCAGCCAACTACCAGACCCTACCCTTCAGAAAAGACAGCCTCTACCATTTTGCAATCAGCTCTCTGACTCTTCTCCCTGTCCCCAATTTGGCCTCTTTCACTCCTTTCTGCACCTGTAACAATGGATTTTTTAAAGGCAATATTGATGGTGTCACTCCCATAGTTAAAACCGGGCATTGGCTGCTCTTAACCTGCAGAATGGAATCTACACCAGCCTTGGGGCAGTCAAGGGCCTTGGTGGTCTTTTCCCTGCCCCACTCTCCAGCCTCATTTCCCACTCTCCTTGACTGCCTCCTCCTCTAGCCAAATACCCCTGAACTGATAGCTAAGTCTTGCACCTCTGTGCCTTCATAAGCTCTTCCTGTTGCCCTGAAAGCCCTTTGCTCCCTATCTCACTCTTCCTACTGATCCTATAAAGCAGCACAAGTGTCAGCTCCCCCAGGAAGTCTTCCCTACAGACTTCCCTTCCCCTATTGTCCCCACCACCAAGTCTAGTTTTAATGATCTTATTCGATGCTTCCACTGCACTCTGTTCTTCCCTCTATCATAGCACTTATCACTGTAATCACTGTATTATAATGGTGTTTTTACTTATCTTCTGCAGCTTGACTTTGAAATCAAGGACAGGGACCTAGTTAAGTGTATCATTGTATCACTAGTACCTAATGTGGTGCCTGGCATATAGTAGGTCTGAAAAAAAATAGATAACACTCTAAAGTCAGACTTGAGGCACTGTGTATATCAGTCAGGGCCCCCACAGGAAACACAGGCACACTCAGCATGGTCAATGAAGAAAGCTTAATAAAGAGGCTATTATAGCTCTT